CTGGAAAAATAATTTTTCTTTTCTTCTATTTTTAAAGAAAAGTTTTTGAAATATTTTTCTCAAAATATGTTTTTTTTTCGGAGAGAAATAATAGAAAAAATAATTTTGTAAAAAAAAAAAATCGGATTTTTGGTCTTAAAACGTTTTTTTCTTAAATTAATTCAAATAATTTTTATTTCTTAAACCAAAAAACCAATGACCACCTCATACCAACCTCATAACCCACACCATCGAATGATGTCCAAGAGAAGACCCGTTTTTATTTATTTGTCTCGTTTCGTTTGTACACCGTTGTTTAGTGTTCGTTCGTATTTTTCTTATGCTGTTTCTGTTCAAAAACACCAGTTATATATATATTGTACCTTTTTAAAACGCCACTTACGCACTTATCACCTCGTTTTTGGCATAAATAGCTATAGTATGTCTGTATGTACGCTTTTCCCACCATTTTATCAACCCTATTTAATTTCTCTTTACCGTTCACCTTATTTACCCCGCACATAGAACTCCCTAACGGCGGACGGCCAAAAGGAAGATTTCAGCGATTTACCACCGAGTCAACGGCGCAAGAAGCTACAAGCTAAAATTGCCGAACTGCAGCATAAACTCAATCAAGAGGTGGCCACACGTGATGGCCTCATGAAAATGAAGATGGTCTATGAGTCGAACTCATCGTTGGGCAATCCGATGACAGTCGAAGGACAGCTGAATGAGTCCGAGCACAAAATGGAAAAGTTACGCATGGATTTGAAGAAGTTCCAAGGCTATTTGGAGAGTGCGAATCAAATGCCGCTGGCCAGTAATAGTCCGCAAGCGAGTCGCATACTCATGCAGAATGGACACCGAACATCGAGGTGAGTGCCTAACCAAATATACTTTCTCTTTAAGTACATACTTATGTATTTATATAAATATGTACGTTGCTTTGCAGACATTCCAATGGCAGTGCCGAAGATCACAACGATGATGGCGACGATCATGCCGATGACGGTGGCAGCTTAAGCAGGTCAGGTTCTGAGGATAATGTGGCGCAAATACAAAATGGGCATAATAATAACAATAACGGGTACACTCATAAGTCTATGTTGAAGAAAAAAATAGCTTTAGATCATTTGCTAATGCACTTAACTGTTTCATACCCTTTGTTATTGGTTTCATTCGTCGTCACAACTTTCTTTGCCCATCCTCATTTAAATGTTTTGTTTTATTTATTTCTACATACATGGTTATCACCCGTAAAATGCGCATTTACACGTTCACCTAGTCTTATTTTACTCACTTATTTTTTTGTGGTATTTACTAACATTTTATATATTTGTTCTAAATTTATTTTAATCATAATTGTTGTCAGGATTTTGGTTGCTGCCTGTAATTCTCCACTGAATATCAAAACTATACACTGTTGTTGTTGTATCAGCAATGAATTCTACACAAATCGTGGAACGTCTATACCAGGTTCTTAGAGTATTTGTGCCGAAAGTCAAAATGGCAGAAAATCTGGTATGAGTTCGGGTTATACTAACTAAATAGGCCGAATTTCTTTTTGGAATTAATCCATTGAAAAGCTCTACTAAGATTCGTTTTCGTGTAAACAATTTAAAAAATTCTGAAAGTTTGGACGTTTTATTGTGCGAATTTTGGAGGGTTTTTAAGTTCGGATAAGGTTTTGTCTTAATATTGACTAAATAAAAAATCATTATAGTATTTATTAAACTATAGAGAATTTATTCAGCGTATATCTTAATTTGATCTAATTGAAAATTTTATTATATGACTCTTTAAATTTTGAAATTTGCTATTTTTACTTGTTGTAGTTAGGTCACAATTGAGGTTAGGTCACAAACCAAATAAAAAAGAATTTGCACACTCCTTAAAACTTTAATATTTTATTAAGGGTTATGTAATATGTACTCAAAAACAATATCGAATTTATATTTATTAATTGAATATTTATTGCAATACATAAATGTTGTTTTTGTAAATAGGTGCATTCGCTGCATATAAGACAGACACAAAATGTTTTTACTTTAATTTTTATTTTCGAAAATTATTCCAATACGTGTAAGACTCTTTAATTTGTTTGTAGATTTTTTTTGTCTTATAAATTCGGAGTTAATTTTATTTATTTTAAAATTTTTAGGTTACGTAGATTTTTTTGTACTCTTGCAACATTTCACTCAGATTCTATTAGTTTTGTTCACCTAACGGTTGTACGTATCACCTAAAACTAATCGAGATAGATTTGAACGTAGTCCTCCTTACATGATTTCTTATTATTTTTGAAAAAATTTTGAGATTAGCTTCACTAAACTCTTATAGAAAAAGTTCTGGATCTTTCGTTCATTGATACGTAATAGAAGTTTTCTGTAGACAGTTACGATTGCTAGGAGCTGAATTACCTATTTTAAAATGCACCGGACGGGGTTGCAAGTGATGTATTAAAAAATAATTAAAGTAACACCGATTTTTTTTTGCTTTTGTTTGGTAATCCTGACAATCTTAATTAGAAATAATTCTCAAAAAGTTATCATGCCAAATAGGGGAGTAAAAGAAATTTTAATAAAAAGATTTTAAATTCCTGTTTATAATTAAAAAATAAAATTGTTTTTGAATTAACATCTTTTTACTCGTGCATACTTCGTGCGCTACCAATCTGAACCAGAGTTCGCAGAAAACTATCACATTCAATACTTTAGAGCAGTGCTCGAAAAACTTGGGCTTTCAAACTATTTAGACTTTATCAATTATAATTTTGGAATAAAAATTAAATTTTCAAATTAATTAAAATTTCAAATAATTTTTTAATTTTCAAATTATTACCAAAAAGTTTTCATATTAAATTAAATTTTTAC